AGAGAGAGAGAGAGAAGAAAGTCTTCTTACCACTTATTCTTCTGAAGATAAAGAATCGAATTCGAAAATTCAATTGTCATTTCATCTTACCGATACTTCCACTCTTCTTACGACATCCCCTTGTACACTTTACGAGGAACTCAATTTCCCACGACGCCAACCTTTCAACGCGTAATATCGTATTACAATATATATATATATATATCCCAAAGATCCAACCGACTTATTCCCGGTCAAACGTGAGCGAGGGGCATCCCGACCCGTCGTCTCGAGCGTTGGAGAAGGATCGATGCAGCTGTCAAGGGTGGTTTGCGCGAAGAATGTAAAATTAAAGCGTTATTATTAGAGGCGCAGGTTTGGCGTTAAAGCGGGCAGCGGCAGTTTCGATTCGCGATCTTCTCATTTGCATGCATACGGGCGGGCCTGATGAGTTCGAGCAGGCTCGTTCAACGAGAAAATTACATCGACACCGCACCCCTGTAACTGTTAAAATCCTTCGCGTTGACGACGTGTCGCGACGCTAATTAAGTTCGCACGCGTGCACGTTGAAATTTTGCTACGCGCGCTTCCGTTCCGCGGAGAAAACAAACAACTAATCCTCTCTCTCTCCCCCCCTCCCCCTCTCCCTCCTTTGAATGTCGAATCTCTGCGCTTCTGTTAATTCACGTTTGAGAGGGAATTAAAATTGGTCTGATAATATTGCGCCTTAAGTGCAAAGAGATCGAGAATTAATAAGAGATCGTTCAAATAAGAGGGAAATAGGGTGTAAATAGGAATTTTTTTCATAGTTTGGAGTTATTTCGAGAGAATTTTTAATGTTTAAAGAAGAGAAGAACGAAATTTAATTCTACGTGCGTTGAATATGTTCGTAATGAATTATTAATGGAATAACGCTTATCCAATAAGAAATTTTTTCAAACACTTTCTTCATTTTTTACACAATCAGTCGTATGAGATTAAAAAAGATCTGCGAATGTAATTTATTAAGATTAAATCGTTAAATTCAAATAGGTATAACGTGGGTATATTATATGGAAGAGAGAGGTCATTAATATAATTGCCAACATCATATCTCAATAATTCAACCGATAGGAAGTGATAAACTGATGATAGAAAACTGATTTGATAAAAATTGAATAACCAATGGAAATTAGTTATAACGCGAATTTGAAAGAGAGACGCGAGCGGAATATGATATAGCTGGAACGTTTCGAAAATCAGTAACACGGTTAATCGCGGCAACTGTTCTAATTAATAGGTAATATGAAGCGACGTACACGTATATAATATTTCATCCTACCTTGTTGGAGCTCTGTCCCATATCGAGCTCTCGATTATAACGCTTCTCCCCGTAGATCCAATCTTGCACGACTTTTTGTATATCCTGTTTCTCCGGGTCCACTAATCGAAAGGCAGTGATATTGGTCCCGCCGTGCTTGAATTCCTCGAGATCGACGCTGTGTAGATCCTGCACAAGGAATTCAGTTCATTTTATGAATTTCTCGAATCGATCCCGACTTTTTTTTTTTTTTTGCATGCTGTTCGGCCAATAATTTTATTGCCGTATCGCGCTACGTTCAATATCATCGAACGTTTATCAGAAATACTGAGATTTATAGAACGCTCTATGTATCCGGGAGTGGGAAAAAATTGTCGTATATCCCGTACATCGAATTATTGGTGTGGTTTCAAAACGAGGGCAATTTATGTGGAACGTTTTTATATGAGGAGGGGGGGAAGGGGGACAATCATAGTGTTTCGAAGATAAAAATTAACATTAGCCTTAAAAAAATTTTATATGTACAAGTTATGAAAGAATTCGAAGAATCGTGATTAATTCTAGAAAAGTTTTCTTTCCAAAAATTTCCAAAAAATTATTTGTTTCTTTTATCCTCTTTATTTATCGTCACCTCCTTTTTTCCTCCGTTTCGTTTCATTACAAGCAAATACTTCGAAGTTTTTCTAAAGTTAAGGGAAATAGATATAGATAATGCATCAGAGATCACTTAGAAACATCGAAACATAAATTCTCAAGGAAGCGAATCTTTAAATTATAATCATCCACGTATAAAAATATCGCGATCATCGATCGACGATTGAGAATCGGCTTTCTCGGTAGTCGAGCTTCGTATCCGAGGACAGATATTACTTGGACGCGCGCCGCGTCGCCTATCAACCGAAATAGAGATATCTCGAGATGCAAGGGATGGGGAGGAGAGCGGTTTCTCCGTTTCTAAAGCTATCTACATCGTGGTGGTAGCGAGAGCGTGATTTAAAGTCGACTCATCCTCAAAGCGCAACTCCGCCGCCGTTTACCTTTTCGAATGCTCAAGCAGCCAGCCAGCCACAGCCATTTATTATCCTTTGTCCTGTGTCCCCTGCCCGGGATAGATAAGTTTCCCTATCCGCTGTCCCTTACAATCGAACAGCCTAGCGATACACACGAGCCCGATCGATCCGCGAGGTGATCGATCATCGCCTCGCCTCCTTCAACCATGCTCCTTCGCGATATTGCTTCTGCCGACACTGCACGACACTCTTCCTCTCCTCCGTCAATAAAGGATTTACAAAGGATTTCGAAGAAACGACCTTTCGAATAATCTGAATCTGAATCGTCGGTTGGAGAGAATCCCGTTGCGAGAAAAAGTGATTTTTATTTTGTATTATTAGAAGATCGGATCGCGTATTTCGTCACGATTATCCTGTGCGAGCTACTTCCCTTACTACAGAATTACATTCTAAATCTTGCTATACGTCAGGGGAATAGCCCCCATTGTCAAGCAACAATGCTTAACCACGACACACGACTTTCAGTAGACGTCCATGACAAATTTTCTCCCCGTAACCTAACCTCAACGCCCGCTAATTTCACGGCACCTAACCTCAAAATTATTAGAGTTTGAACTAATTAAGATTAATCATTAACGACCAAAATTCTATGGATAATTCAATCCTCTTCCCTAATTGCGTTTAATCTGGACGATTAAAAGAACAAGCTGATGCAAGGAAGAAAAGAGCTCGATGGATCGGCTCGTCGTTGAATTAACATCGCTACGTGAAATTCACGATGATTCTGGACACGGAATTACGGCCGCGCATCAGACACGGTCTCGCATTTCGAAGCTACAAATTTCATCCTGACCCACCGAATCCTGCGACGCAGACGTATTATCGCATCCTGCTGGTCATTACGGTTATTATGCCTGTTACGGTTATGATGATTGTTATCGTCGTTATAGTACCGGTTCCCATTAAAGCTTCTTATTACGAACGCTTAGAGAAACGTAACGCCAACCCATCAACTCTTGACTCCTTATTACCGTCGAGTTATTTAATTCATATCGTCCCGTTCCTCTCTTGTTCCATTTCTTTTTTCAATTTTAAAGATTCGATTATGGTGGCGCGAATCGGTTTCCATTATCGATTAATGAAATTAATTTTCTTTTTTTTTTAAGATATACGCTGAATAGATCGATATTAATAAAATTGGACGAAGAATCTTATTTCAATGAATGGAATCACTGTACGTTTTCTTGTTTTATTTTAATCGTTATAAACGAACGGTAGAGAGAGAGAGAGAGGAATAATGAGCTTCGATTATTTAATTATTACGTATTTATTGATTAATCGAATTATTTTTCTTTGTATTGATTTCTCTTCAAAATAAACGAGTCTATTGTTACGAGGCAAATCGTTCATAATATAACACGATATAATATATACATAAAATCAATTTTCGAAACACAATTTGTGATTCTTTGTATGGTCAAAGTAATATTCAACGTTTTACTCGAATTGGCGTACTCTCGCTGGTTTAAGCGCTTTATTTATGTTTTTATCGCAACACCAATTGAAAATAATCACCGGCGCGATTCGCTCAATTTAACGTTTAAAAATTTTACATGTTTTGATATTTCGTTTCGGATGACATTTAATAAGACATTTTTCATGGATACAAGCCGCTATATAATCATAATTGCCTAATAAATTCATTCGTAACATCAAAGAGAATGCTTCCAAGCTGAATTAATGTTAATTAATTTATTCGTGCCAACAGTTGCTCTCTTCTCCTTCTCATTGTCATCGCGATGATTAGACCCCGATGTAACAGAATCACTATCACTTTATCGATAATACATATATTGGTGTATAATACTGTGTTCAATGGAGCCGTCATCAAAGCGCGATTACAGCTCATTGCACGAAACTTATTTACGCCAAGGGTTTCGATTATTAATCCATTATAGGAGTGTAATAGTGCAGCATCGTTTAACCAACCTTTGTCCACCTTTGTTTCTCATCGTGCTCTCCAGCCTCGTTACTCGTTACGAATTATATACCAGAGAAATACACGTGTTAAATATAATAAAGAAGAAACGATGAATTCGTATATATATATATATATATATATATATATCTTTCATTAAACAGAAATAAATTCTTGTTCGTTCTGTGATAAGAAAGTAACGATCTCGTTACCCAGCCCAAATATCCACTCATTGTTCAATTATAATCATTTTATTATTCCCTGATCGACGGATAATGAACTGGATTTCGCATAATTGTTCCCTAATCAGCAGAGGACGCGCGCAAATTGCAGCGAAATGTCAGCGATACGAGGTTGCAGTTTCAATGGATCAAAGTAGTGGAATATCGATTATCCGATTTAACGAAAACGGGCGAATTCACTTCACTCGATGGTGGAAAAATTCAAATAATACTTTTTTCCTTCCGAAACAGATGTGTATATAATATAATATAAACGTATAATCGAACAGAAGTAAGAGAATTTTGTTTGGCTTAATTTCTCCACTTGTGGTATGGACTGGTAGTCTCAAATAGTACGCATAATGCAAATTCAAGTATGCAAATTCAACGTCTCGTAAATATACCTACGCTTGACTCTAAACGAGTCGTAACGTAAAAAAAATGATATTTCCCGGGGCGGGATTGGAATTGCTTTTCAATCCACGTCGTTCAAGGCCCGTCTCACCGGCACGGAACCGTCATTTGGCGTGACTAAATAGCACCGAAACCGTGACAAACGAAGAAAGGGGCGTTCCGTGGATAGACTTTTCACGTGTATGAAAAGGATACCAAGGATGCGACTGTCGAGCGAACCGACGATCGATAGTTATCGTTCCCCTTGATTTACACCGACCCACGCGTATCACATACGTAATTCCCGCTTGTCTTGCCGCGAGACATCCTCACGGGTTAGATAAAAATGCCGCGTACACGGTTTGAATGCGAAACGCCGTGTTCTCGCGACGCGACGTGATGTCGTTGACGTGAAAAAGAAGGAACGTTTCGATGCTTGTTGTATATATAACTCGTGCGAGTATATGAATTTGCTTAACGTTTTGTCCATCTTGGTTGAATTTTTTTTCTTTTTCTTTTTTTTTTTTCTTTTTTTGAAAAAAGATTCGCATTCGTTACGTTTCAACCTTTTGATCGAATTTTTGGCTTTTGAAATTTTTCTCCTTTTTTGGATTTTATAGACCACGTCCTAATCTCGATGCAAGGAAGTTAGATTCGATCGGATTAATATTTTTGATGTAAAGTAAAGATAGTAGCGAAAAATTAAGGACGAGGCAGTAACTCGTTATAGTTCTCGTGCAGAGAAGAAGAACGAGGTGTCGAGTTGGAAAATAAAAAATTGCTTTAATAAATTCCGTAAATGGCGAACGAGTCGGAAGTTGTTCTCTGTCATGAATTTTCCGTTTGAATTAACGGCCGCGTAAATTTGCCCCAGTGGATTTTTATTGGAGTGGCCGCTGTGATAATAAAGATCCTGGTATAATAAAGGGCAATTAAATTCATTTTTTATTTATTTATTTATTTATTTTTTCAAGCATTATACATCGAGCACTCCCGACTCGATGACCCCGGAACACGGTTGATTAGAGAGAAAATAGAAGCTGAACGAGTTACTAATGAAGAGGCAAATTTCTGGCGAAACGAAGTATCCTCTAATTGAAAAACAACCTATCGAAAGTCGCTTTTTTCTCCCCCCACGTTTTTTCGTTCAACTTTATTTCGTTTCACGTTCAATCAACGTCGAAAAAAAAAAACATTCTCGGTTCCAATTAATCATTGGAATCGAGCTTAATACCAGAAATTTATTCCAAGTAAATGAGAATCTTCGATGATATGTAACAATCCCTGTTCCCCCTATAAATTTATCGTTCGAAGAAGAATATCGAATATAACTCGACCACCATTGAAATTGAATACTATCGTTTTCCTTAATAGACTTGATCGATCTACCTACCCAATAATTAGAATTTCATTAATTCTGTTTATCGTTAGTCAACGACTGGTGTCACTTGAAACGTTCATTCGTTTCTTCGAAGGAGATCAGGTTGATGGATGGAGATCCAGGTTAGAAGACCAATCAAAGGATATAAATGAGAAGAAATAGGTTCCAGACGATGTTCCTATATAGACAATATTTTATTCGGCCAT